GGCAAATGGCACATTATTTGAAAGCCAATTTACTCGTGCTTACTAATCTGCTTTGCTTTTTAAATTCTATTGATTCGTTTCGGAGATAATTCGCATTTGAAATGGTTTTTTTCTAAAAAAAAGAAGTTGATCAGACACTCAATTTTCCAAGGAGTCCTTTAATTTCATCCTTAGCTGAATGCTTTCATAGTAAGAGAACTACATCGTGTTGCTGTACGTGTCGATAGTAACTTACGATTTTTGGAATTTGAACATTGGAAATACAAAGTAATGTAGGAAGTAAAGCTCCTGAAACTTTGATCACCTCATCAAGCACGTCATTTAAATCAGATGGTAAAATTGTGCTCCCCAGTTAAAATGAACTATAGGTTAATTTTCGATCGATAAAGGTCACAAAGTAATGAAAATTATATACGTAGTCTTGTAATTGGCATAATTTTATTAAGGCGCCAGGGGGTCGCCAGAATTTTTCAACTTACAAATGGGTCGCGTCTCCGAAAAGGTTGAAAAACACTGATTTAAATAAAGCTTTCTTTCCTTAAAAAAATCAGGATAAAGGTTGATCAAATTATGGCGAGACTTCATTAAGAAAAAAAATCAGCGAAAACAACGCCCTAATTCAAATTAGTCGTGATTCATTTTCACTTTTCTTTATTTTTGTAGATATTAACTTCTATAAGTTTGAGCAGATTAGAGTACTTTATTTTGAATTAATCGGAATTATAAGAGAAAAACGAATTTCTGCAAGTATGTGGAAAGGTCCTTCTCTTCATAATCTCCAGGACAACTGGAGATACTTAAAATATGCTACAGTATCAAATTATAGCTCTTTTAATTTCAAACATTTTGCTAACTGAAAATTTTATGTATGACAAAAATTAAGTGAGTATTTATATGTGAGCACCAACTTCTTCGAGTCCTTTAAACTAAAAATTTTAAAGGGATGTAATAGGCTTGTAGCTCTTGTACAAACCTAAAAGAAAGGGCTTTTAATGAACTTTCATCGTACAAAATAAAGGTTAATAATAATTTACAAACCAATGATGTTATCTTTCGAAAAATGCTGAGCTTTTTACTTCATATTAAACTTTTTTAGGACCTAGCTGACATACATAGGTAATAAAATTTACCTCCCTCCGCTCTTTATTAGCACGCGTTAGTGTTTCCATATTCAATATCATTTTCTTCTGGAAGGGAAGTCAAGGCGCAGGATTTGGAGAGACTTGCATTAATTAAAGATGAGTTATAATTGTTGCCAGTCTCTAAGTCAAAATTTCTACTTTCTGCAAAATAACGAGGGAGTGCCCAATTGATTGGAAAATTTTCTCAATTTAATCGTATTAACATCCTATCACACATTTATTAATATTTTCCAAATATATAAAGGCGTGTAAGAAAGACCATGGAAAGCACCCATTCAACAAGTGCTCCCATAACTTTATCAAACTCCGCTTCATCGACAATACAAATTTGGGAAAAGGGTTTTTTGATCTTGGTAACCGTAAGGGCCGGTTTAAAGTTAATTTTTTTTTCGAAAATTCGTTGTAAATGTGATTGATGTTAGGTTTACGGGTAGATCCATTTTGGTTTTTTTAATATTATTGGAAGTTGTAGGGTGTCGAGATTCAAAAAATCAACCGTGTGGGAATTTCACTAATAAAGTTTGAAACCGTGTTGGTAATGAAATCCCTCTTTTCTGCATCATCGATCAATGCTTCTTTGTTCTTTTAATTGCCTCTAATCGTCAGTGGCGTCAGGGAGTCTGCGCGAGGGCTCAAATTACATCTTTTTTAATAGCTGTACGAGTATAACGAGAGATCAGCATAACGAAAAAATCAGATTGCGGAAACCTTGCGTCAGCAATACTTAAAATGATTAACGACTTAAGACTAGCTCAGGATTGACTGAAAGAAAGTCACTAACCAATAAAAATTAGGCATCGCCATTTTAGAAATATTCCTCCATTTCTTGGGCATAAAAAATTAACGCAGTAATTGGAAGTTGGGATCATTTGTAATAGTTATTTGTACAACTAGTTTTGAAAGTGATACTTTTTTCATGAATTTGCAGTTTGATTAATGAGGGCGAGTAGCTAACTTTCAGTTCGTAAAAGTAAAACTCTACAGTAAAGCAAAACCACAAAAAAGTAACAAAAATTAGTAAAGAATAAAGCTCGCCCATTATTGATTCTTTGCAGTACTGTTTTAGTTCTTATTTAATGAAGAGACATTTTTTAACTTTATTGCAACAAAGACTGCTGCATCTGGGGCCTGAAATTTCCAGTCAACGTTGAAGAAATTGTGGGTGACCCTTCCTCCGAAACAAAAAAAAATTAGTTGTTTTCATGTTTTTTTGAGTCAACATCCCAGCCACCGGTAGACTTTACTACTTACTTCAAGTTTCACGATATCGCGAGAGCTTGACCACACTTAAAAGTTCTTGCTATTGTCTGACACCCCCTTTGTAGTGTGGTCTTCTATATTTTTTTGTAAATTTTATTTTTATTTGATTTGCCTGAACAAATTAAATTCAGGGCTAAAGCAGTTGAGAAAACCTGTGCATAATAGGCAGTACTCCTGTTTGAACAAGTGATGAGATAATTGAGCAAAATATTGCCCGAGATCCTTATTTTTGAAACTAGGCGATGGTTTTCAAAGAACGCGTTGAGCATGCTCTAAATTGAGAAAGACATAAAGACGATATTTAGTTTTGCAGAAATTAACTCAATGCTGCTATTCTTTTGAGCTAGTTGGATTGAACTACTAGCAAGAAATAGTCACTTAGACGTAGACACACTACTAATTATTCGATTTCATCTAATTAGTGAGCGATTAAAATAAGGGTAAGAATTTTGAAATATTCGAATGCAATAATTGTCTAGCTTTTCCGTATGTTATGTTGCAAACTGGAGTGTGTCGTCTGAATGTTATGTAGTATATGTTTTTTTGGTACACTGAGCACTTATTTACGAACCAAATCTTCATGTGGTTGTGCATTTCTTCCATGTCTCCAACTGTATAAGGAAATTTGACTTTATCCCATTTTGTTAGATACAGTATTTGAGTGTTAAAACGCGACGAGAAAATAGGGAAAAGTTATTTATACGATTATACTTACCTTACCCTACTATTCTATTTTACGGTTACTTTACGGCGAGTATAAAGTCCACAATGGCACTGATTCTTCTGACTTATCCGTGGTTAGTCTTCTGTCAGTTGAATTCCGCGTTAAAATCATGGTATTGCACTGGGGTAAAAATGACCTCTCACTTTTTTGACAGAAATACACGTTTTAAAGCACCAGGAATCCGAAACAAAAAAAATCTCGATGTCGGTCGGTCTGTCGGTGTGTCTGTGTCCTCTCATTTCCGGCTAAACGGCTGAACCGATTGGAACCAAATTTAGTACACATATTCTTAGACATAAGAGAGCTTTTGGTCAGAATCTCCCCTGCGCAAGTGTGTCAAAATAGCAAAACTGTCAATTTTTGACGTTTTTCCATATTATTACTAGAACTATTGCATTGAATTGAACCAAATTTCGTACATATTTTCTACGGACACCACTAAGAACTAAAATATATTTAGTCAAAATCGTGCTGGTCACAGCAAATGTTTAGACACACTCCCTGCTCGGTTCAATCCGACTACGATGGGATAACATCTATCACTTAAAACTCTTAAATGAAAAAGGGCTCGACTGGCATTATTTCTTGAAACGAATTAAAGTTAGGGTAGGTTAGGTATTGTGTGGCTGTGGGGCATATTCTTAAGTAAAGTAGAAGTTTTCACTCCCCTTAAACGTAGATTTTGACCTCCTTTCTAAACGAAAATCACTTTTTCAAAATTTGTCTAGCCGAGCGTTTGGCCAAGTATCTAATAATAAATATTTGCTGAAAGGGTTTTTTGGTTAACTCCTGTGGTATGGTCTTAGACGTCATTTTACTTCTAAATTTGGAAAATATTAAAAAAGCAGGTCTTCTCTTAAAGATTGATGGGTTTTTAGCAGTATCAAATTGAGGAAATTTTCCGAAGACTTGGATACTCTCTCGTTGGGCGGATAGAATATTGGACTCAGGCTACTGGCAACAATTAGCTCATATTTGCCTTCCCATCTAAAAGAAAAAGGTATTGTACTGTTAAGTACGAGATCTAATTAAATATGGAGAAAGTCCGATGCATTGTGGGGTGGGTAGATAGGGAGGTAAATTTCATGACCTACACAGATACTTACAAAAACCTGAATGTGCAGTTAAAATTCTATGCAAAAAGAGTTCTCAACTCTCAACAATTGCACAATTTATTTTCTTATGTGAAACTCTTTGTATACAATCCGGAGTCAAATTAACAACATGAGAGCTCAGACCTTACTTCGAAAAGGCAATTTGACTCAATTTCAAATTTCGAGTTCACACTTTTGTGGTTAAACCCTTATGGCCGTATGCACCGACAAATTTAAGCAGAGCTTAGTTTAAGCACAGCTTAAAATACATGGCAACCATTGTCGCAATAATCGTTGCCATGGATTATAAGCTACGCTTAATCTAAGCCTCGCTTAAATTTGTCCTTGTATACGGCCATTAGAGTTATAAGTCTAAAATTTAAGATTTTGAGTAGAAATTTTACTTTGAACAAAAGCCAGGAGTTTGATTTGTGATGTTTTGGATTAGTTTTGATTATTAAGGTCAAGATGTTAAAAATCATTAACTTCTGCCTCTTTTTTATGGTCAACGGGTTCCATTTGCATATACCTAGCGTAGCGCTATCACTATATCTTCAGTAGACGGGAGAGAAGCTGATTCCCTTTGGTTTTGTTGTGTGTTTGAGAAGTTTGACAAATTTCAGTTTGCCATGCAGAAAGAAAGCAGACTTTAGATTAAGTTGGAAAAAAATCACTTTCTTTTACGTTTCTTTGACTCTCTTACTTCTAAATAAATTAAACATGTTTGGTACTGAATCGACGCAATGTTCTTTAATTTATTATTAACGTTTTACACGGTACGATACATAGTGTTCAAGTTGTATGTATAAAACTGAAAAGAAGTCAGTTATTATGATGCTACGTCTGAATCTTCCTGTAAAATGGGACAAACCAAATTCATTCATTTGAATGTAAAATAATACCATTAGGGCATTTGACAAAAAGCTACTTTCAGCACTGCTATTCTTCGAATTAGTTTTATTGGACTACAAATCAGAAAGAATTTTTAAATGGAAATGGCATGGCTCAGTTTACAACAAATTAACGTGTGTCACAGAATTACACTTTCAGTGCTGAAAACCTTATTATTTTAACTTCCCCCCAGTAACACTACTTCCCAACCCTCCACGATATATTACTAATACCATGGAACGACCTCTTCAAGTTTCCACTGTCAGCCCACTCCGAATTAAGGTAACTGTCGTCATCGTCTGCGTCCAACTTCTTCAACTCCTCCTGCCTACGATACGCCTGCAGCATCCACTGTTTTCTCTCATTTTCGTTCATAACTGGCTCTCTACCTGGTGCCCCGCTACCACGCATCGACAACTTCATGATTACCTAACATATTTTACTAAAGGCAACAGCTTTAACACGCACAACTATAGATACCTTACAGTTCTCGATTTTCCCCACGTAGTCACCGACAGTTTTTCCATCTGTGTAAAGCTCCCTGCCGCAGAACCAGAGCTGGGCGGCCATCGGATCGATAACCTCCTTAGACGCCTGCGTTCCGGCCAAGTCCTCGATGTTTTCAAACTCCATACGAATAACATCGTGAGGAGGTAGCTTCATGGGGTACACTATCATAACGGCGCCCTTCAACAACTCAATAGCATTCTGCACCATCTTGGCAGTCAAACACTTCCCTTCCGTCACCAACTTCTTAGAAATCATCGCCTTAGCCTCCTTGACAGTATTCGTTAGAACATCCTGCATTTCCTTCTTGGGCTGCTTCCCATTTCTCCTACCGATCGGATCTTTGACGAACGTAAAACCACCGCTCGGTATACACTGCTCTCCCCAGTGATCGTCCAACTTCAGCTCGGACACCTGCTCCTCCGTAAGTCCCAGAATTTCGGGCGGATATAACGTGCCGTACTTTGCCAACTCTTCCATTTCGCAGCATATTCGCTCCACTTTTAATCTGCCGTTGAAGATCGTCACAACGTTCTTCACTAATTGCTCGACCGGCGTACCGCGGTTGGTGTCGATGAGAAATTGACTCTCGTCGTTTCGTTTTATGTGAATCAGGACCATTTCGAATCGCCAATGTGACGGAAACTTGACGGAGGTAGTATATCGATTGTGGTAGTCATGGTGAATTGTTTGGGCTGTTTTGTCAATATATTAGCACCTTAGACCATATAGTACATGGACTGCTAATTGTAACTAAAATATGGTCAAGGACATCGCCTGGGTATGTGAGTTTCAGGGTAAACGAGTCTGTTCGAAGTTGTCCGATGAGACACGATTTGAGACTGTCAACCTATAAATAATTCACAAACGTCAATTAATTAATCGCCTAGATATCCCAAAAAAAGCAAACTTATTCTTATTTGTGAACGTATAGCAAATAATGAAGAGTATATAAAAGCTTCCCGTACTACGCGGTTACTAGAAAGCTGCTCTTTACGCGATCCGAGTGGTGTTCATACGACCTTAGTTTACCCTGAGATTCACATACCCACGACTACAGTGCCCTCTATCCGTGACCACCCATTTTGTATTGAAAGCATAGGGCTAATAGCAGTCCATGTACTATATGGTCTAAGAAGATTAGCACCTATCAAGAAACTTCTTTCATTTATATCCACCTTCTCATTTAGTGTACTATGACCAAATAAACTAATAATAATAATAAACTAATTTTAAAGCACTACAGTTTAATCAAAATATGCGCTATTATGACCAATTTGTCCGTCCCTACGGCTGTGTGGCTATTGTTATACTGTTTAGTGCACTTTCACTTTAAAAAAAAAGTTCAGTTTTGCGCTCTTGATGTCTGTCTGTCAGAGTCACAAAGGCTCCGGAACTACATCACTTGAAGACTTGGTATTGGTGTCATTCGATCAGAAATTAAAAATTATTTCATGTTTGTATTCTCGTTAAGACATGAAATATCCATTAGGGCCATTCAAATTGAAAAAGAAATTTAAAAGTGCACTCTTACTCAATTGGTTCGTTATTGTTGCGAGGCTTGCAACAAGGAAGACATTTTTTTCGCGTTTATTACGAAAAAGTTATAGAAAAAAATCAATTTTTTGATGTATCATAATTTTACCCTTTATTGTGCTTGTACTTTCCAATTCAAGCTGTCAAGTCAGCTTGAATTGGAAGCTGTCAAGTCCGTGTTTTTCAAGCATGCGTCCAATGAAGGCAACTGATAACTACTCCAGAGTGTTGATTCAAAATTAACTGTAAGAATTCCAGACGTCCATATCGAGGAAAGAATTGTAAATAAAAGGTTAGTTATAAATTTTGTATTCCTTGTAAATTTCAATCGACATCCATACAAAATTCACTGTATGGAAACCAATTTGTCATCATAAAAAGCAAAACTAGATTAAGTTTGAAGTGTAAATTATGAACGATTCTATTTCTAATTATTGATCAATTTAGAGCTAGTAAAAGAGACGGTCACCTCGACTTAGATATTAACTATCCAAATTCATGACAGGTAGAAATTTAGTAAGGAAGCGATTCAATAGAAAACCCAGGTAGCAAAGGAGATGCATCCTTAAAACGTCTTCGATATTTTCCTATTTTTCTTGATCAATATAAATAAGGGTGTATTTTTTCGGGCGATAAAACTCTTCACTACGGGATTCCGCATTATTTTCTGAGTAAAAAGTCTAATAAAAATGTTCTTCTAGATGACTCCTTCAGGAAGTATAGTTCACATAACAAACTGCTAATAACTATGAGTAAGTACACCAAAAAAATTGCAGTTATATCGGAGTTTTGGGAGATGTAGAAGTATTTGCATTAATTTCCAAAGTGTTGCACTTATGAATACAAAAGATTATTAATCCTCAGGTTGCGCCTTTTTGTACATTTTTAAATTGTTGCATCAATGCAATGGAGTTTTCCAGTCTACGAGTACCTTGACTTTGCAATTTACATCAGTCACAAACTGTCATTTGGACCTGTCGTATAATCTCAAATTACTTGCGTCTAATTTAGGTAGTGTTACCAGATTTAAAAATCTAAAAGTGTTAATATTTACCAGCAGGAGTCGTCTGGAGGAAATTTTTTATTAGACTTTTTTTTACTCAGAAAATAATGCGGAATGCGGAGTGAAGAATTTTATCGCTCGAAAAGATACACCGTGTATAGTAATTTATCATTTTGCTGGACAGTATAGTCAAAGAAGCCCTTTTTGTAGACCAATTTCAGACAAAAGAAGGAGATCTCTTGAGTAAACCAGGGGGGTAAAAAGGTAGAGTTAATAAGGCAACCGCAAATCTAGTCATAAGCATTTATTTTAATAATTTTTCTGATACAGTTTTCTGGTTGCAATTTCCCATTTAATAAAAAAACAATTATTTGCAACCGGACTTCCGGTGCAGACGAAAAGAGAACTTTTTTGAAAAATCCACCTGGACACTTCACACTAAAACATTAAATTCCGGTTTCACTATTACAATGGTCCATGGAAATGAAAATCATGAGGAAATCATAGAATTTCAGCATAACATTTCTTTTTAGAGTGGACTTCTCTCGTTACATTGTCGCGAACCATTTTTCGAAATCTCAAATTCTGTTCATCAAACTTTGACAAATTTAAATGTGAGATTCCGAGTACTTTCTAATAAATAACAAAAATTTGTAAAAACCCAAATATGTGAATATTTTGAAGAGGCTCAATATTAGATGTGCTCTTCACTTACTTGTTGAGAATCAATATGAAAAATTTGCAAAATTCAAATTTTAAAATTAATTAACATTGCGAAATTGAAAGGTTTCAAAAAAATTTAGATTTCAACACAACTTCACACCTGTACCAGATGTTGTTGTCCCTGCTCGGGCGCCAATTTCTATGCGAGGAACTTTATCCGGACGGTCACTTCGGAAAAACTAAAACAAAATTACAGCAAATTCCCTAGCAGGAACGAAGGCAACAAAACGCAAATCGGGGGAATCGGCGCAAAAGCAAGTGCGGGAAAGCTAGCAATATCCCCCCTCCCCTACAATGAGTGAAACGGAAATTCTTACCTTGCAATTAAACGGAGCGGTTGAAGTTACTGTGCAAGAAAAAGCAAAAGCTATATTTACGGTGCGGTAAACTTAATACACAAGGAAAAATTAAACGGTCCGAATACAATAGTTATTTACATAAAAGTCAGGAAAATGACACGTTACTGACGAGGAAATATTGAAGTACAAGGCCCCAAGTCAAGTAACGGCATTTGACTGACGAGTTTTGTATTAAATTTTACCCGAAATCGTATTTTAAAATAAAATTTCAATTTTCATATAGAAATTTGGATTTAATTCCAATCTGTCATTGATGGCAGGTGTCATTATAGACATTTAGCAATGTGACAGGTGCGGCAGGAAAAGTGACAGGTGCGGCCGGTAAAGTGACAGGCGGCAGGAAAAGTAGACTGGTCTGCCTCCGTCATGGAAACGAACGTTTCCCTGACATAAAGTAGGCATGGAAATGAAGATTTCATGCCGATTTTGGGCAAAATAAAATTTACGGAAAATATCCAAATTTAATCCGGTTGAAACACAAAAGGCAAAATATGCAAAAAGTAAAAAAATGTATGTTTCGGTTAATCACTAAAATGCAAAAGATCGATGATTCAAATAGGGTATTGTTTCAAAAGTAAATTTATGACAAAGCTATAGATTTCGCGACTTACAAAACGTAGTTTTCTAAAATGCAAAAAGCAAAAGATTTTATTTTATAGTGCGTTTTTTTATTTATCTAAACGTCCATTTCAAGTCCGTCTCGTACACTTATACCTACCTTCGATACGTTCAAACAACATAAAACTGTTTTTAATTAATTAGGTACGTCTTTCGCCGATCTCTATATGGGACCTGTAATGGAAATAAATTCAAATGAACCGTAGAAAACTACTTAATTTTATTTTAACTTGAACGACACACAATGAACAGCTTCTCTCTCACTCTCAACATGCATGGTTTTTCCTAACATAAAATCGTCTACTGCTCTACTTCCTCCCGCTAATCATGAAACCGCCAAACTAAATTAATTTAAAATATCTAAGATTAATATCTAACAGGACCTGCGTCAAAATTCAAGTTTTTTAAGAGCGCACCTAACGGATGTAATCTCGACTTAATCGGAGGTTGTTGCTGTAACCCATCACAGTTAATTATATTGGTCCAAATATAGTCGGAATAAAATCTCTAAATTCGACAGTCCAGCAGTACCCATTTGTTCCTTGGAGTTTGAGATTATCTTATCGCGTTGATAGTGTCCTTAAACTGCACGACCTTGTCGGTTTCAAACCTAGATTTGCGTATATCTATTAATCGGTAATTAGGGGACCTAAAACTTAATAAGACTGATTCTCTCTCTTCTTCTCTGGTGGCTATAAAAACAATTTAAATATTTCTACGGTTGCAGAACGGATAAATTCAGTGCGAAACTTAAGTGTGTTATCGGCGGTAAGACAAACAAAACGAAAACACACAAAGCTCACTCCTCGTCTCCTAGGACCTAGAGCAAATAAGTAAATTCAGTAACTACGATTTGTTAGTAACGAAGCGCCCAACTTAAATATAGCTGCTAATATACAGTGTGGTCATAACATCTGGTATGAAACTGCAATGCGCAAAATGGGTGCTTGGTTACAAACGGGTGTCTTTTTATACCTCAATTTTGTGCTATTTTTGCCTGATAACGCTCTTCTGGTTTTTAAGTTATTTCATTTTTAAAATAGCACTCCAATTTCACACGTATACTCGGTGAAAAGTTTGAATCTTAGTTGCCACAATTTTGCCTTTTCGGTAAACGTCGCCGGGAAAGATGTGAAGATAAGGAAGAAGGTGTAGGTGAGGAATCTCATAGAATCACTAAAGACTCTAAAGAAAATATTTAACAGCCCATAAAGAATCACACCCTAATTTCTAAATATTTTCCAGAAATTATCTCAATTTATTTACCGAAAACACTCTGTAGGTGTATGCAGTTTTTTCAGGACCATCAAAGAATCCTTAATAAGATTCTTTAAAACATTTCTTAAGAATTTTCAGAGAATTCAAAGACTGTATATTGCCTGACCGAGAAATCAAACGAGGTACTACACGACTTCCTTAGTAATTTAAAATTTTCGTGGGGTTGCTTGTAATCCAGAGGGGGTATTAGAGGGGGGTAATATTTTATATTATCATTGTTAAATACTTCTTATAATCCTCCCCCATGGATACTGAGGGTTATTTCCCACCCTTCTAAAATGATTGAAATTATCTCCGTAAGTGGCAAAACTCATTCATCTGCATCAAGAGCTACTTTTAAGGGTTTCTTTCACATTCGCGCAAATTCTAATTGGACGATTGGACTGGAACAATTACTAATTAAATAATTAATTACAGCATGGAAATTCATATCGTAAGCTGTACGAAAGACAAGTCTTGCTTTTCTTTTAGATTTAGTGCTACCTTAAAATATTTAATGCCAGACGATAAAATCGTGAAACATATTGTTTTGAAAATATTACAATTACACACTCTAAGGGTGCAAGGAAAGACAAGCGCCTATACCAGATTTAATTTACACCTTCCTCACTCACATCAATAAAGTTTCAGAAAATTCAGAAAAAGCAAAGTACATTTTTCATTTTCGCAGTGTCCAGAGGTCCATAATACCGAACCAGCCTAAAATTTTAAACTCGAGAACATCGAATTGCACCATGTAATGGAGGTATATCTATAATAGCCCTAGGAAAGTGTGGGCAGTATTGTTGACTATGGACAATCGGTTTGGGCCCTTCTATTTTTGAACCCAAATTCTGTTTTTAGGGCCTATTATATTCGTTATGACTGACTGGCTGGCTGTCTGGCAGGAATCTCGGCAATTACAATAGCTAGAGACTTCAAATTTTCACTAACAGCTTTCTGCTATAATGTACTAGACATGCAAGCTCTAGTCTATTTACTCGTGAGATCGATAATTTTTAATTTTCCTAACAAAATACTGATCTGTATTACCAAAAAGCACTTTCATCATGCATATGCTGATTTTTGCTTACCTATTTCATTTCGTTTCCTCCAAGCTTGCCTAAATATCGAATATTAGTCACAGATCACTTCGTAGATTAAGGATGTAAAATTAGAAAATTAACGATATAACAAACCATTTAGACCATAAACATTAAATTATAATAATGTGATGCAAATATAATCCGTAGGTTACAAAGTGACCACAAAGTGACAGAAAAAAGTGCAACTTTCTATTGGGCGTCCTCACAGTCGCTTAATTAATCACCGTCGTAAACAAATTAAGTGTCGTTTTCAAGGATTGGTTTATCAAGACTAGAACGGATGGTGAGTGGTAGGTAATCTTCAGCAGCATAGTCAAAGGTAGGGTTTCCCTTCACTGATCGCGTTACAAATATCCATGTAGCGAAGATTTGGGGGTCATTTTGATTGTGAAAGACCTAAGAAATTTAGGAAGCCGTCGAGATGGTAAGATACTTTTTGTTACAAATTTCTGCTTTAGTTGGCTTAGTTTTTTGTGTTCACTTAGAAACGGTTTGCGAGTTTCCGGTGGAGTAACCAAAATTTGTTGGTCGCCCATTTCAAATTTTACGCTTTTTTTTCGCTTGAGTAAAGGAACACTAAGTCAACTGATGGTATTTGGTTGTGGGTACTTTTAATTATTTATAACCGTGTATAGTCGATCTTAAAAAGGAAAAGTTAATTTGAGCGCTTATTCAAAGAAGGTGTTGCCATAGTTTAGTAAAAGGTAAAGTAGAATATTTGCATTTTAGCCAAGAGGTACCTACTCTAATTTAAAACGTCATTATTAAGGAAGAAAAAACAGCTTTCTCCAAAAGGAAGTTCTTGATTTTTCCTTCATACGGATGCATTTAAGACCTTTCACCTATTACATTCTTTCTCTTTATTACGATCGCATGCTATTTTTTCACGTCATCGGTACAATAATTTTAGTAGTTTATTTGTTCCGTTTATTTTGAAAGTGACACCACCTGAAATTTCACCTTCATTGATGATTGGTATCTATACACTTTTGCTGTTCCACTTTATTTGTTTAATATCAATAATTAAAGATAAGGTGCAGTTATGATGGATTCGAAATTAAATACAAAACCGTTCTACAATATCTAATACGGGTACAGGTGAGATTGGTGGCGTACCAGATCCAGACTTATGATACAAATACATAAATGTTTGGAGATTGCAATAACCCTCTAATTGCTTTTCGCATTTTTAAATTACGGAATTTATAGAAGAATCTTTATTTGAAGGAAGTGTAACTTTCTTAATACATTATTACTTTTTTATTCGATTAGATTTTTATTCGTTAAAGTATCCACTAACAACCCTTTAATTGTGCTTTACAGATGAAATCTCTTCCCCTTTTGACACTACGTAATTTTTAAGAGAATTCGTCCGTTACACACACTATAATTTTCAAGTATGAAAGTTGAAATTTTCTTGATACATCAAATGTTTTTGTTTATTTGATCAACCAGCAGCCCTTTCGTTGCCTTTAAAAATGAAATCACTTCTCATTTTGAAATTACGTACCTACCAGGCATTTCTTTGATCAATTTATTGTATTTGAATTTTTGAATTTATCCCCTCAACAGGAGTACATATTTTTCAGTGGGTAATTAGTTAAATGGTTTTCGGTCGTTAAGAAATTACTCAGATTAAAGTAATCTGTGGTCATTTTCGCAAAAATGAAAGATTTGAGCAATTTAGTATTTTGTAAGTATTTATATGCAATGAATCATAGTTTCTTGCATACAAATCCCAATTTTCTTTTAGTTTTTACCTTAAATTTATAATTTGTCAACAATTTCAAAGTCATTGGATGATAAGTCACTTGCTTGCTAAATGTCCTACTGACAATATTGTGCAGATTTAATTTACTAATTAAAATAATTTATTGATTATTATTGTGATTCGCTAAGTAAGGCCTTTAGGCGGCGAATACAGAGTAAAGCCTCTCCTAATGGACGATAAGTAAAATAAAAACGACACAAGAAATAAAAACAGCATCTACTTACCCTTTGAAAGAACATGTAAAACTCAATCCAGCTCAAATTACCTTTGCTTTAAACTTTATAATCATCTTCATATCACCTGCAAAACAGAAAATCCTCAAACTAAAGAAATTAGTAAGAAACTTTCTATTAAGTAAAGCATATTACACAGACGAGTTTTTAAGTGATACAGACGTCTGTGAGATAAAGATAGGCGACTGAAAAATTTTAAAACTTTTTGTATAAAATTATTATTTTTATGACGTTACACAATGTATAAAAACAAGAATAAATATTACTATTACTATTACTAAAACAAAATAATTCATTTTGTAAGTTTGATCGTTATTAGGGCAGTTAGTAAGCGATTGGGCTTGTTTTTGTACCTACCTAGCTACGATAAATCAAGAATCTACCAAAGAGTTTTTCAATTCTGTTGAATACTGACTCTCCAGCATAATCAGTGTGATTTCTATAAAGTAATAAGTAATTGTATATACCTAATTGAAATGTAACGCAGTCGTGAAAACATGCTTTTAAGTCGTATCTCACATCAGTTATTAATGTTATTATATTTTTGCTTATTTGATGGTATTAAAGGCCCTCAGACGGATTTTGATGTGTACTCGCGATCCATTTCTCACCGAGAACTTAGGAACCTGTGATTTTTTCACTTTTGACTAAAAATAACGGACTTCGAAAGACCTTTCAAACAAGCTATTACTCGATACCACTATCATTTAAAATTTGAAGAGAGTGACCCTGGATGGCATAGGGTGAAAGGGAGTGAAGTACTTTTTGGTTAAAAATAAGTTGTCCCCTTTGCTAAACCTTTTGACGAGTCTCGGCGTTTTTTCCTTTAATCAGTGGTTTTCGACAAATTCGCGATGGGAAGTTTTCAAATGAACACCCTGTATATACTTTAAAACAGCCGGATCTTACGTACGGATCCATCTGAAGTAGATGCCATAGTTTCATTTCTTTTGCCAAGTTCTTGTACACAAGTTAAACGATTTTTAGGCATGCCTAGTTGGTATAGGAGGTTTATCCCAAATTTTTATTTTTTTTATGTCTCCTATCTTAGATCTTAAAGGGAACGAGAAGAAAACATCTGTGAAATTGAACGAAAAAGCCGAAGCGGCCTTTAAAAAATTAAATTAAAATTAAAAGAGTTATTGAGATCAACACCTGTTCTAAGTAGTCCGGATTTTACTAAATCGTTTATCATTCAATACGACGCGACGCCAGTAATGTTGGTCTTGACGCTATTTTAGTGCAATTGGAGGTACAGAACGAGAAAGTTATTGCTTACGTGAGTCGCGCTTTGTACAAAACCGAGCTCTACGAAAAAAGAGTGTCTAGCTTGTCTTTTTGGCATCGAGAAATGTAGTCCTTACGTAAAATGTACGAAATTCAAACAAGTTACTGATCATTTCGCTTTGCAATTGCAATCTCGGAAGGTTAGCTAGGTAGTCGGCTAGAATGTCTCAATATGATTTTGAAATTGAGCATAAGAAAGAAAAAGTCAATACAGTAACCAACTTCATCACGCGCTCCTGCTCCAATCATATTAGTTCCCTATCTTTTAACGACGTTTATTATTGCACTTCTATCCTAAAGAATATCGATCTTGGCGAATAGAGAATGGAATAATTTTTAAAAAATGTGCCACCTGATTCAATGGAAAATTGTGGTTCCACGATTAAAACGAGCCGAACAGTTACATAATGAACCTACTTCTACTCATTTAGGATCCCTTAAAGTTTAAAACATTGAAAAAAACTTCCCAGAATGAGAACGAATGTTTTAAAATATGTAGGGGTTGCAAAGTCTGTCAAGAATGTAAATCAGACCAGCGTTCCTGGGTAAACAGAAAAAAGTGGTTGCAATAGCGCACCCAACTTCGTTGGAAAATACCCTAAAAAGATTGAATATCGCTTTTAGCTGCTTTCCATACATTTAATTGGTCCGTTACCCAGATCACCTAAAGGATACACCTCAAAAAAATTGGTACTGCTTTACCTTTTAAGGAAAGCTACAGCTAGTTCTATATTGCAACATTTCTAGTGAACGATGTATTTTTAAGGTTTGGGGTTCCCCAGATCTTAATGTGTGACAATGACCCTCAATTTGTGGGAGGGGTGTTTAAAAAAGTAATTAAAAAAATATAATGTTTAGAAGTTTTGCTACAATGCAGCTTATCGTCCCGAAGTGAACTCCATAGAGCGGTCAAATAGGGTAATGAGTAATGACAACATCCATTCGTTTTTATGTCACTGAAAATCACAGATTGTGGGACACGAAAAGTATAGTATAAAGAAAATTTCGTCCATCTACCAGGAGGAGAAGTTCCCATCACAGAGCATGCATTTCCTCTTTGTACGGCAATACTAAGTTTTTGATAAAGAAATGATGTGGATCTTACATCAGCGCTTTTAATAGAAAGTAATTTGCCACATTCTTTTGTGTGTTGCAAGGCTGAATCACAGAAGGGTCTAAGTGTCTCCACAGCAAAAGGAACGAAAACATAATTTGTTTGATGATACTAGGATTTTATTAAAAAACAAATTGTATAAAAAGGGTATGTTACAAGCGTAAGGGGATTTTCGACAAGTAGCCTGTGTCCTTTACTACCATTCCATCCGGACTACCATATAAGTTAAGTCTGTGTTCGTTACGAGTTGTGAGACTGCTTCCCGGTGGTAGTTATCCCTTTATCCTTCCATCCGATCCTCTACTCGGAACGTGAGGCTGCGTTCTGGTAGCAATCATCCCAAAGAATCTTTCCCTAAAATTTTTATTCAAAACATTTGATTTTGAAATCTTTTCTTGTAAATTCATGTAAAAGTACAGAGTGTGTAGTCACTATTTTTCTTTTTGAAAACAAAAAGGGACCCTATTTAACCTACACTGTATCTCTCATCGTTGCGGAGATCCCAATGGTGAGCCACGAGTTTGAACCACCCTGTACATCCAAGGACTGGGTCCTATGGTATGCACTTTAAGTTAGTGAATACTTCTGTCTTAGGGGATGGAAGGGATTATTTATACGGGTCTACACGTAGTGTATTGGAAAAAAGACATAGCATTAATACCACAATAAATTAAGTGCTTAATTTACTTTCAACGAGCAAGTCATTTATAGCATAGCTTGTACTGTAGCAGTTCACTGTACTGCCACTTAAAGTGCAAGAAACGCAACCGGCATGAGATGTTCAATGTAAAGCCAACAGTTTTTTGAATGGGATATATTTTGCATAATAAGAAACCGATTTCTAAATGTCATTTATGAGCACCAGGTCCAACAACTCTTGTACTGAGATTATTGAGTTTTAATTCGCATTGCTCGATTTTATTTTTGGTGGTAGCAAACTTTGAGCTTTTTAGAGCATTTTACTGATTGCAAACTTAAAGTACGTAGATTGGTAGCAAACTTTTTATAATTCATAATGACAACATTTTCGCTCTGTAGATATGTCTAACTTTTAATAAATTTCTGTTTATCTAAGCTTACCCTAAATTTAATTTAATAAAATTCTGCAAAAGTTTTCTCTTTATAAATTACGTAAAATTCTCTTTTTGAGTAGATTATAGTACCTATTAATCTTCAATTTATAAAGAATGCGCCTACAGTTCTGTCCTATGAGCACGTTTTGTTATTAGATACGGTCTCTAGAAACGAATTTAATAGTAAGAGAAAAGGAGAGAAAATAGCTTCATCGAGTAATCTCCAGCAGTTTTTCTTTCCTACGGCAGAAGGTGATCTTGTCCATACCTATTGAACCATCCCTGATCGTCCGAAACGATTCCTGAGACAATTAAAAGCTGTTGGCTGTGAAAATATTATATCATTTGGAGATTTCTGCTGATAAAGTCTGGAGAAAAATCATTTTTGTCCAAAATATACAATCATCCATCAACTCATCTTTCAGAAAATCAATTAATTTAAAAAAACAACAACAAATATGCGACTTATGATGGAAACGTTGGCTTTTATTAACGAACGACAAAGCCCGTTCATGATTTTGATTTTTTGTCCGTCCGTCTGCCTGTGTATATGATAACTCGGGAACGGCTTCGAATTTGCTAATTCTATTTTCAGTAATATGTAGACTCTGGCCAAGGGACTAACTGATTAAATGTTGATCATTTGGACTTTCTGTCCGTCCGTTTGTGTTTGTCGCTCATTGTCTATATTGGTTTGAGCAGTTTATTTTAAAATGATTCAAAGCCACGTATGTGTTCAATTAATAAAAAAAATTAGTTTTACGTAGTACTTGCAGTTGGCAAGATTCGCAAAGCTGTGATTGAGTCCTTGATGATATCGGGACCATTGTGAGGAGCATTAAAACTTGACGTAACCAGACTACGTTTTTCAACTCAACTTGAGAAAATCGTGAATTATTGGAACTTAAACCTTTGGAAATGACTCCATAAAACATTTTGCAAAAAAAAGTCCAAAAATTTACCTCCTATCAACACCTTCGACGTCGCATTTTAATCAGTCCTTGATTGGGTTGTGCGTGACTCGGCTACCTAATCGTGTTATTCACAAACGAAAAATGTTTTTTTAAACAATATAACACTTTCCGTAATTCTGTGATAGCGAATTTAAAATTCAGGCGAAGATCCATATTGTGAAGTTGTCCAGACAATAAGAAACGTTATTCATACTGCCAGACTAACCATTTCACTAGTGCTCAAAATGTTTACACAAAATGAAATTGGGCACTGTATTTAATCACTGTATCGAGTTTTGTTTTAAAGTAGTACAATACTAATAGCATAATACCACAGACAATATGTTGTCTGTGATAATACTGAAAAAAACAGCCACCAAGTAGTGAATTCAATTACTATGTTAGGTTCAACTAGTAACAGAGACCCTTGCGGTGTAGATTCTTTACCTTTTCCTCATCTCGTTTGCATATAATATTTGATTGTATCCTAATCCTACCTATTATTTCTAGTTACTCACACTTGCATTTGGCTACTGCCTTCTAAGTACAACGTTTGCTGCCCCTCCTGAACAGCAGGTAATGTTGGAGGACATGGAGCGTCAGAATGTCGGCGAAGATCACAGAGAAAGATACGAATATACTTACCAACAGCAAATTCGGCCTAAGTTGCCTCAACGGGTTGAGAAACCTCAAAACATGCGAATGGAGTACGGGTTTCGACCAATGAAGACTGCCGTGGCACACGTCCCAAATAATCAGTACTATGAGCAACAATCTCAATCGCTACTTACCTATCAACCATCAGGACTAGCGCAATCGCCACCGGCGTATTTCATATACCAGCCCGTCCAGCAAAGGGAGCAGCAAGCAAATGTGCAACCTATTACCGATAACTACCTAACTCAATACGTTTACCTTCAACAGCCCAGCAACAACATTGACACCGCCTACGATCCCAGAACTAATTTGCAATACTTCATGTATATCCAACCGGAGTATCTACAAAGTGGAGCAAGTACTCTACAGCCACAATTATCCTCGTCCTATTTGTACCAAGGAGACAAATTGCAATATCAGTTAGTTTCACCGTCCGCTGTCCAACCACAAGTTACCTACATTCCGAAGACCTTACCAACACCTCAAAAATTCAGCTCAAGCTCGCTGGTGCACGGACCAAAGTCTCTGCTTGATTCCTACGTCCCTTCTCACTTGCAAGTAAAATACATCAATCAATTACAAAGAGTTCCCAAACGTAAGTTTCAATCACACGGTTTGAGCAAAAACCTTCGACCTGAACAGAACATGTAAGCCACCCCTTATTTAAATATTGTTATTTGTATGTATTATTAAATAAATGTGTAAGTGTTTTGTTACACTGTCTCTTGTATTTATCTGTTGCACGTTATCCTTCGCGTTTTATAATCAATGGTTACACTAACGCATTTAGTAATAGCACAATAGTTAAAAAGGGGAAGCATGGATGAATCTTGAGAAATATTTATTGGTTTATTTAAAAAGTGTTTACATAAAATATAGCAATGGCGGTCCAGCTGGGTTTCAAGATTTGGTCTGACACCACCTGTACAGATGCGATAAATGACGAAAACAACACACTTTTCACAGAATTATTACAACCGCGTACACACAGTTTCTCCTTCCTTTTCCTAAATCACCCACACTTGTAACTTAATGCGTGCACACTGACTCTGCTCTGTAGAGCAATCGGAAAACCAACACTTCTCCTTTAATTTTAACTGACAAACAAATTTCAAAACATCGGCTGACCGTCGGAAAAATTGTATTTGAAAATTTGCACGCAAATTCAAATGACGCGTGATCCGCCTTCCCCAGCGGCGCGCAAAGCTTTTTAAGTCCGCACCACCTCCATCGCGTTTTTTATCTTCGGTAAAGGCCGACGAAATGCGAGCACTTGTTTACAGTGCATTTCCTTTCTAAACTTACCCTTGTGCCGCTTACCTCATTCTTTTAAATTTTACTTTGATAAAGTCTGCTTATCAAGCATCTGTTAACTACGTAAACACAATACATTCTTTACTCACAAGTTGCTTAACTTCTACGTCTTAAATTACAAAAAAGAACAATTACAACATATTAAATTATTGAATAATTTTTACAATATAAGTAGAACTACAACTAAAATTAAATAAATTCCACCCAGCAACCCAGGAAGGCATGCTGTTATTATTTAGTCCTGTGGTGTGTATCACAAACGTCAAACTTAACCTGCAAGTTACCGTTGCCAAAAAAAAACTTTATTTTCCTTTATTTAGAATAGGCAAAATAACATTTTCTACAGATACAGGGCTGATTGTCGGCATGCCCCACCAAAATCTCTTAATATTTAAAATTATGATCGACCAAAATGGCATCCGAGTTAAAATTGTGATTGAAAATAATACGGTGGAAACTAAGGTCACCTATACTTTATGGCCGGCTATCGACATAAAGAGGCAATTTTTTGTAATGCTGTATACGATCCCACAGGTTTTCATCATCCGATGCCGGAAAAGAGTTTTGGAAAGGACACTCAGGGTCCAGGGAGAGGGGTGTAGTATGTAAAATTCGTTTGCCAATACAGTATTAAGTTCCTTTTGGTAAAATGATTTACAGAAGTAGTGGTCTTACGTAGACCGATTAAGAAGGGTGAGTAATCGATTTACTTCGACAAATGTATTGAATAAGTATAAGAAACCAGTTCGAAACGAAACGCGTAATTTTAAATTTATTAGTAGATGCTACAGTTTAGTTGACCGCGTCTCCGGGCAGTGTGTATTGCGCCTTTATGCGTTATTAATTCAATGCTGTTAATTGTGGTTAACGAGTGTGCATTGTACACGATTCAGCGATTCAACCAAAAAAGAAGGTACGTGGAAGAGATTTTTCTTTTTGGAAATTTTGGGACAACGTAGTCTTGACCAGCACTGACGCAGATGTCAATTCTAGAAGCTTAGAAAGCGATTATGTGTTACCTATACGTACTTAAGTAAAAACTGCATTTCATGATTATTGGAAACAAATTCACTCGCAGCATCAGAAAAATTCCTCGCTTTGGATTCAAAATGTGTCGGCTATTTTTGTGAAAAATTGTTCATTAATAATAATATATGCAGCTAATAAGTATAGGTACCTATTTAATTTTCTTCAATTCACTAGTTTTCTGATTCCCTAGGAAAATATGGGACCTCCAAGAAATTACAAATTAATTACGCACCAATTATTTAGGGCTCGGCAGACTACTTCTTCAAATCGTTCTTCTACCCGTCTATCCATCTGGAACTCTGGAACGACAGCACCTAGAGCACAGGTAAGAACTTGTCAATAGGTGAAAAAGTCTTAAGCGCCATTATATCGGTTTATTTATAATAAATTGTCAATATCATACATGCATTTATGTCCACTAATAGGTATCTAGTAATTTAGTTCTTCTAAAAAAACTGCCAACTTCCCCTAATTCTTCAAACGAACTATGCTCCCTGCAAAAATTATGAACACACATCTTCAGTAGGGCTTGTTTTTTTTTAATTTTTCATCGATGGATCTGTCACACTCGCAGTATTTCTCAAGGTACCGATTACTGAATTAGTAAAACGTTTGGACACGTTAGCATCCCTGGAAAAACGTTCTTGATCTTAACTCCATAATATAGCCGAACAAGAACGCTTTCTTGACTTATCTTGCTTGAACTCGTTCTTGGTTCATGTTGACTGAAAATAATGCGGCGGAAACTAAGCGTAAACCTTATGATGGCCAGCTATCGAAGGTGCTATTTTTTGAAATGCTGCACGATCCCACAGGTTCTTCAAATCATCCGATACCGGAAAAGCGTTTTGGAAAGGATACTCATCAGGGATAAGGGTCTACTATAGTCGTCTAGTATGTAATATACCAAAGGACTAAAGTGTGTGTTTTAATCCCGAGGGTGCAGATTGTTGCTCGAAACGAAATTAATATTAATTTTAAGTTTCTTTCGGCAAAATGGTTTGTAATTCAGGGCAGTTTAATGTGGCCTTACGTTGACCGATTAAAAAAGATGAGTAATTGATTTACGTCGACAACATATTGACTAAGTAGGTATAGAAACCAGTTCGGCATGAAAACGCGTACCTAATTTTGAATTTATTTAGTAGAACAGTTTAGTTGACCGCGTCTTCGAGCAGGGTGTATTTATATTGCACCTTTTTCACATAATTAATTGAATGCAGGCTTAACGAATCAGCATTGTACACGATTCGATGCCACATTCATCCCGAATTCATCATTACTCTAGTAGGTACACTTCATGGAGATTTTACTCAAATGGCGCAATCGTCTGAGACACTTGATATACCCCCTGGTCTAATTACATTTTAAACGAAAGTGCGATAATTATAGCTCTTATAACTTTCTTATACTCAAAGCACACATACATTATAAATTAACTATGTAATTCTTGTAGATGAATATAGACTTGGGAAAGAAGATTTCGACACCAATCACCAATTATTAAAGGCTCGATAGATCCTGCTTCAAATCCATCTGGAACTCTGGAACGGAAGCCCCTAGAGCACCGAAACGAGATTACGTCTTTGTCACAGGTAGGAATATCGTGTCAATAGGTCAAAGGTTATGAAATAAATGTCTTTATACTCCAATGTATCGGTGTATTCATAAATGGTCAATCATAAATGCAGCATGCACTAAGACGTGGGTAAATATCTCCACTAATCTCTAGTAATTTAGTGAGTATAGTCCAGTCACTGAACGGCCTACTTGGGGGGTGTAAACTACGTGAGCAGGGACCTAAGCGATTCCTTCAGAAAATTGTTCAGAGTGTTTCGGTAATGAACATATATACCAAGAGTCCTTACACCTAGGTGACGATCCGAGGGGCGGGGATGAGGGAAAATGTATAATTTTTGAGTTTCCACTCTCTACAACTTTTATTTTCGCCACTTTTTCCGAATTCCCAACCGTTGGCCACTACAAGCTCTCCAATAACACCATCGCCCAGATAACATTGAATATTTCTGTAATATAGGTACCAGGAATATTCAAAAAGGGATATTTGAACATGTATTTAAATATACCTAAAATATATTCATCCCTTGTAAGATATAGGTAGTTGGGATAGGCGAATGGAAATATCTCAGATATTCTGAGAATAAACTTAAAAGAATATTCGCAATTTATTCTTAATATTCTTGGAACAACAACATATATCTAATCAACTTGCATTTAATAGAAGAAGCTTTTCCCCATCATATAGGTACCTACTGAACTGTTGTCAACATACGAGTATAAGCGGAAATCTTAAAAATTGTACCTATTCCTCTACCCCCTTCTCGCAGTTGGCCACCTAGGCATCAGGACTTTTGTATGTTCATACTACCTAAGCACTTTGAACAAGTATCTTAAAAGATCACTTAGATCCCTGCTCACGCACGCTATAACACCTGCTTTTTTGCCTGAACTATAGTAACCGATGCAAGTCACAGCATTTTTGAATGGTACTCCACAAATCACAAACTGCAACTCTCTTCCTCGAATGAATTATGCTGTCTGATTGGCATCCCTACATGAAAAATTATGAACACACATCTTCAGGGCTTGTTTTTTTTAAAATTTTAGATCTTTGAATTTGTCATACCTACTCCGAGTAGGTATAGTCGAATACGTTTGCGCACGTCGATTACTTTAACAATTTAACATCCGTGGGCGAATTCCATAATACAGCAGCACATGCTTTCTTCACTTATTATATATTGCTTGAACTCGATCTTGGGCTACTAGCTCAAAAGTTACAGCCCTTTGAATTTTATTTCGAAATTGGTTTCTAGTCTATAACTTTTGATTGAAAAATCTAATCGAAAAAGTACGAATTGTTTTGGATTCTACGCACCAAAATTAATAAGAAAAAGTGTTTTCCCGAGAAATTTTGGTGTAGTCGATTTTTGGTAAAAAAGGAAGGTTATACACTGCCTTTTTTTGAGCCCCGAAAAAAAATTGTCTCAGATCGACCCGGAAAAAAATTTTCTTATAGAATGTGGCCTGTAGAATCCATAATTTCAAACAGTTCCAAGATTGGGCTACTAGTTCAAAAGTTACAGCCCTTTGAATTTTCTTTCGAAATTGGTTTCTAGTCTATAACTTTTGATTGAGAAGTCTGATCGAAAAAGTACGAATTGTTTTGGATTCTACGCACCAAAATTAATAAGAAAAAGTGTTTTCCCGAGAAATTTTGGTGTAGTCGATTTTTGGTAAAAAAGGAAGGTTATACACTGCCTTTTTTTGAGGCCCGAAAAAAAAATTGTCTCAGATCGACCCGGAAAAAAATTTTCTTATAGAATGTGGCCTGTAGAATCCATAATTTCAAACAGTTCCAAGATTGGGCTACTAGTTCAAAAGTAACAGCCCTTTGAATTTTCTTTCGAAATTGGTTTCTAGTCTATAACTTTTGATTGAGAAGTCTGACCGAAAAAGTACGAATTGATTTGGATTCTACGCACCCAAATTAATAAGAAAAAGTGTTTTCCCGAGAAATTTTGGTGTTGTCGATTTTTGGTAAAAAAGGAAGGTTATAGAGAATCCATAATTTCAAACAGTTCCAAGATTGGGCGACTAGTTCAAAAGTTACAGCCCTTTGAATTTTCTTTCGAAATTGGTTTCTAGTCTATAACTTTTGATTGAGAAGTCTGATCGAAAAATTACGAATTGTTTTGGATTCTACGCACCTAAATTAATAAGAAAAAGTGTTTTCCCGAGAAATTTTAGTGTAGTCGATTTTTGGTAAAAAAGGAAGGTTATACTCTGCCTTTTTTTGAGGCCCGCAAAAAAAATTGTCTCAGATCGACCCGGAAAAAAATTATCTTATAGAATGTGGCCTGTAGAATCCATAATTTCAAACAGTTCCAAGATTGGGCTACTAGTTCAAAAGTTAAAGCCCTTTGAATTTTCTTTCGAAATTGGTTTCTAGTCTATAACTTTTGATTGAGAAGTCTGATCGAAAAAGTACGAATTGTTTTGGATTCTACACACCAAATTAATAAGAAATAAGTTCTTTGAAGGGCGTAGGTACAAAAATGATATAGGTAACTATTAAGTAGGTACAATTTCCAATAAGAATCTCGCAAGACGTTAGAAGACTTGCCTAATGTAGAAATTGCATTCTTAGCAATTTAACATAAGTATGTTATTGCTGAATCAAAGTACAAATATTCCCTAGGACGTCGTACTACTTTAGTAAACATTTTTGAAGAATTTCATATAGATAGGTACTTAAAATAAAAGTGAGTGGAATAAAAGAACATATACCTACCTATTATTCATAGTCCATTTTTACTGTACAGTGTAAGGACTATAAAAGAAAATCAAAGATAGGTATTCCTATAATATTTCCCAATTCTAAAATTTCCGGTAAATACAATAGTATTACAATATTGGTAATTTTTGTTTTTATTTCATATTACTTGATTATTCATAATTTTAAATGTATATAAACACAATATTTGCAACAATTGGCATGAAATATGCTAACAGTTTCTCACTTAGAATAAATTCAGTAAATCAAAGGTTTTCCTTTCGTAAATATGGTCGGCCATGCTTTGTATACCTACTAGAAGGCGAACTGGTGCTGTAGGCGAAGAGCTGGATGTTTATTGAAGCGCCATTGAAACAGGAATTACCTATTTGTACTTTGCAGAGTTCAGAGGTTCAGATGTTACACACTCATCGGTTGACCGTTTTGACCAATGAGGGTCCAGCACGTACGTTTTAGGTTGCTGCCGGATGTGCAAGCGGCGCGTCGCCACACACTCCACAATAATTTTTATATTTCTACTGACTTCTTCTAAAATTTTTTGCTATAGCGATACACAAACTTCTGATCAACTGAACAAGAGTAAGGTAATAACAGAGTGCAGAGTCCCTTACTATGCGTTGTTGGCATACAAATCTTGAACCGTATAGCTAGATTCTAATCTATACGTAAGAGCTTGTCAAGGGCAAATTTTTTACTTTGCGTCTTTATAGGTATATATTGTACCTTGTACACACGTTCGTTATACAGCGCTAGGTATCGACAAAGAGCTCATTAATTATTCTTTCGTTATTCAGATTAGGTAAAATGCGGTAGGTTTTCAATGAATCCACTTTCACAAGGAAATAGTCTCATTTGCTAGCTTGAAATAGCCCATTCTACTTCAGTAATTCCAAAATTACAAGCTTGTTTTCTGGTTATGAAAGTAAACCTTTTTTTGAAAGGTTTATTATCCCACAAAAAAAAGTTGCTGCGGTTATACTTCAAAAAGATACGAAATACAATTATTGAAGGCAAATACAGTGGACTGTACTCACCTGGATCGAAGAACCAAAACTCATGTCTCCAACCCTAACTTGTAATTTACAAATCATATTCTAAGGAGTTACATGCAAAATCAAATAGGTACAAGACACCATATAGCCAGGTGGTATATTCAGGGGGCTATAGTGCCATGTTGCAGTCATCCTGTCAAAGCTGTCTTTCATGTTTCAAACCAAGACATCACTTAATGTAACAGTAAGGTGGAAGTTTGATGGCTTTTAATGAAACTGCTCGCTGTATAAAAGAACCCTTTTATTGAACCAAATCTATCATCTACACAAAGTTACAATTTCTCATAGCGATATGATTTATATGACAAATATTTAATATAAAATAATTATTTGGTGGAGGTGACTATATCACATAACTCTCAATAAATAATTGGCTTAAAATAAGGACACTTATTTGTAATGAATTTTGACATTTTTCAAAAAGCACGAAATAGTAATGACAATAATTCAACAAATACTTAAATCGACACCTCTTTTTCGATTTTTCATGTGAGCCCTAATAATAACCGCGAAAGCGTCGCGACCTATCAATTCATAGTTGGTTGCTAAAAACCGCGCGATTGTCGAATTTAAACTGTCAACTCCGTGCGCTAGAATATTCCAACCCAACTCGATACCGGTTCCAAAATCGCATTCGTCCGTAGCTATACTCGTTGCGGTTAATACTGGTTGCAGCTCGGACATCACCTTTTCTTTCTGTTGAGGAGATGCTTTACCTACTCTGTCTAGCAGCTTCCTCAATTCCGCAGCTCCAACGCACAAGTGGCGATATCCAACTTGCGTTCTACAAGAGGCTATTAGAATTTCAACACACATACATTCAAAGGTGGAACTGTTGCTAAACTTCCTCTCATTGGAGCTATTAAAATGGCCCAATCAGAAAAACAAATGAGCATCTGGTTATCAAGATCTTCAACAAAATAGCTTTTTTTTTAATTGAACTGAACACCTTGCACCATTGTCTCAAGTCGGTAACCTCAAAGCAAATATTTCTTAAATCGAACACCCTGTATATTTTTACATAGGTATTTTGAAAGAAAATTAAATTATGGACATAATCTCAGTCAATCAAATAGTTAAGAGCTATTGATAAAAAAAATGTTAAAAAATCAATAATAACTAAAATTGCACATAATGTGTGGCACTCAATTGGTCAAAAAAAAATGCCTTTATGAAAATCTAACGAATTTCAGTATTCAATAGCCACATTTTGTTAGTATACGCAGTGTTCTATTTATTAACAAATATTTCTTTTAATATCTGGATACCCCAATGCTCGATAATTTTTTGGTTCTGTCATTCTAATCCTAAGACAATAAAACATTTAGCAATAGCGGCCACATCAGTTCTACCCCCGGTGTGTATACATACTTTCGATTGTAGGGCACCACAAGCCCAATTGAATTGAACGTGCTGCTAACTATCTTTGTATTCCGTTCTTTAACATGCGAGGGTTTTAAGTCGAGTGAAAGCTTCAAATTTTCTGCCTGTTTCTTAATTTTACCCTGAAGATTTGTTACAGACAATTTCTTAAAGGGATCGCAAATTTTCTTAAATGCCTCCATCATGTGCCTACAGAAATCCAATGGTTAAAGTGAAGTTTTAGTATGCACACTTACCAAACGGCCGCGAAAATGTTGCCACCGACACAGGTTAAGACCCCATCTTTTTTTGCGTGATTAGCTGCTAAAAATACGGGTAGGTCGTTAGGATCGTCCCTGAAGTAGCCTATGTGATACTCGGTGCTGTCGTTTCCTTTAAGAACTGTTTGAAATTCGGGTGGATCGTGGTAATAGCGCCAGTGAATAAGGTAGTCATCGGTGGGTTTGTTGATATTTAACAACTTTTGCGATAATACATCGTAAGGGCCCACCAATTCCAAACCGATCTCTGAAAATGCTTTGGATGGGTTAGCTTTGTTTAAAGTTTGACAGTATTCCCAAAGCATATAGAAGTCATCCGGCATTTCTACCAAAAACTTTTCCTTAATGAATTCTTTTGGATAAACAGTAGAAGAGGTGGTAGCTGTCGGCTCTTCTGATTCAGCAATGGGTGCGGGTGGTGAATGGGAGCTCCCATTTTCGGATTCATTCTTGGCCTTTTTGTTTTCTACTTCGGAAGCAGCTTCCTTAAAATTGACAGAAATGAGAAATGCGCCTAGAAAAAATATCTCACCTCCGCTGGCCGTTTCTTGGGGGGATGTTTATATTTCTCTTTATGGGCGGCGTTCTTTTGGTAACATGAAATTCCAAATTTACAAGGAGTGCGTGGGTCTTTAACGTAATGATCGTATTCTTCATCTGGTGTTACCATTTTCATAAACAGATCCAGATACCCCAACAAAAAAATTTATAACATAACCTAAAAAATCATTCAAATTAAGTGGCTAAACAACCAGCACGGCTGTGATCTCCCTGTACAAGAGATACAGTCAATGTACAGGGTGTCCGCGGACGAAGTTAGTTGATTATTAAAATAGGAAATTCGTATCCGCATGAAACTAATACCCTTTTACTGTTTCACAGCTTCCCTATAGAAACTCAAATGAGCAACGTATTGCGAAATTAAGACATCTGAGGTATTTTATCTGCTCTCCTGCTACGTGGATCTGCACAAAGGTATGGGATCTAAATAGTTAGGCATGATTCAGCAACTTTTATTGTTTCAGGGCCTCCGTCTAGGAACTCACAAGAGCGTATGAAATTAAGACGTCTGCTTCCCTGCTGCACAAAGGTAAAACATTGTTATTTCCTCTAAGAAATCTGGGGTGCGCCAAAACTTCCACCTCCACTTGCTTTTTATGGATTTTTTAAAACGATTTATATGAAATCGACCGGAAAAACTTTTTCGTATAGATTTTGGGCCTGTCGAATGCAAAATGGTCAGAATTTTAAAGATTATACTACATTAAAAGTTATATACCTACAGTAATATTGGGATTTCCTATGTCTAGTTTTAAATGACAAAAAAACTCTTCTGGAGACTGGAGTACATCTAATTTTACTTCGATCTCCAGTCCTCGATATCAGAATTATTACCACGTAGTACGTTCCTGAACTCTTGCGTAACGAGCACATGCTTTTGTTTAAATAAAAGAGATTCTCAAACCGGCGCTGTAGTCAAGGCGCACTCGTCACCTCGTGCAAGTTTAAGTGCAAGCGTTTCTGTGCTACGCGCTGCATGTGATTGCTTTTTGCACTTCAGCATTTTTCTATTAGTGAATTGTTTTTTAGTTACTTGTACATCTACATACAGTAAGTAGGTTTATATCTCTATACTTTTAGCTCATTAACAGACTCCCGGAAACTTTGTACCTACCGTTCGGGGCGGTTTCCTTTTTTAGGGTTTCCCCCTTTATAGTTAGCGAAAGCACAGATTAGTATTGTCTGTGGCGAAAGCCAAAGCATTAGAAACGTTCTCGCTCACGTTCTCGAAGCAGGGACAGGGGCGACAAGCGTCGTTCTAAACGACCTCGCCCAAGAAGCCAAGAAAAGCCTTCGTCAGCGTCGCGTCGGACGATATTCTACGCCGCCTGTTAAACTTATTGAAAGAAAGAATCGATTCACGGCACAGTAGTTCCCTTTCTCGAGTTTCGGTTTTACCAGGGGAAAGCGGTGAGCGCCTTTCTCCAGGACCTTCATCATCCCATTGTTCGCGCTCTCCTCACTAGGATCTAGTCGTCGGTGACCGATCCCCAAGCGGTCAAGCGGCACCGTCGTCATGTCCGGATTTAGAGTTTTCGCCAGAAGCCAAGGAAGAGTGCACGCCTAGCGCGGTACCTTCCCGGGCGGGGCGGCATCTCCTTTGGATGATGCAGACGATGTACTTATCCTAGAGAAAGACTACAACTTTACTGAAATTTTAGAAAAAGAGCCGAACGATGAAATAAATTTGTTTATTCACGATCATATTGTAATCAGCCTCATAATTGTCATTTTGAAGGATAAAAGGAAGTTGTGTTTTACAACACTTATTTTTCCAGGAGGGAGGAAAGTAGATTCTCGAGGTTAGTAATGTTCGATTCGAGGTTAGTAATATTCATTACTTTAAATAAGGCTTTAGCCAGTAGGTGGAACGTAAGTTTACGTAAAGGAATTCCTCCTAAAGACAAAGACACCTTAAAGGATGTTAAAGTTCCTACCAATCTTGTCGCCACCAGCGAGGGGCAGATTGTCGTTCTTTTTTTCGGTGTGGAGGAAGTTTACTTCAAATGCCATGGTACTGGATTATATTTCAGGGTATAAAATACCTTTTTTGTCAGTACCGAAACAAAGGTTTCCTCCGAAGCAACTTACGTTAGTAAAGAATACTATCACGGATCTACTTTCTACACGCAGCTTCTAATACTCGTTTTAAAACAGAAGTATAGAGAAACTAAAATCAATTATAATCGGAAATCAACAAATGTTCATTTTTTCCGCTCCTCTAATCGGAGCGATCTTTCGAATGCTGCAGAAATCACTGCAATATCTGGACGGAAACGCTTGCAATCGGCGGCGGATTAATTGCCTAGTTTAATTACGGCGACCTGTATTTTTACATCTTCAACTCCCAACACAAATACTTTGGGCGGTTATATACACGGTGTGGTCCCAAAACCAGGTGGAAACAGCTGCTTTGTTACCATTTTGATGAAGGTGGTAGTTTTATTTGGGCCTTAAGTGTGAGTGGGCGGGGTTTCAGCCAAGGGTGCTCTACCAACCCAACCCCCTATACGTTTACAAATATCCATGCCTGAACCCGGATTCGAACCAGGAACCTTCGGCACCGCAGTCGAGCTTCCACACCAATGCGTCACACGGGCCGGCAAAGTTGGGACTTTGAAAGCCAACACGAATTTGGAGCCCTAGGCCATCGATTGATCGCAATGCTGTTTGATATCTACCACATTCCCGTTGAAAAGGGATACCACTCCTTCGATACGATCTCTAAATCAAAATAGAATGGGCCAACAGCACTTTGGAAAGGAATACACAGGTGCGTCAAGTACTTCCATCACATCTTATGGATATTTTATGCCAAGATTTGCTTGAGATGGGGAGGTAGGCCATCGAATCGATCCCGGTGCCACTTTCCAGTCGTTAGAAAAGGTTGTCATGTGGAAGTTTCTAATTCAAAATGAAGTTGCTCAAATACACAGGTGCGTTCTACCTCCATTTTCATATAGGGGTTCTCATCATCACTTTGGTTGCCCTTTTTAGAAATGGGGCAGTGATAAGTTCTTGATGAATTGCAAAGTAAAGTTTTGATGCTGAGTAAATTTATTAACAAAGACAATGTACACCTTCAATCACAATTTAAATTACATTCACTTAAAATAGTTATTTATGCAATGAGTGTATAATTGAGGCGTTTTATTGGTGAGTGAGATGTTTAGTCCACGAGCGCAGCAACTGTTTGAAATTATGGATTCTACAGGCCACATTCTATAAGAAAATTGTTTTTCCGGGTGGATCTGAGACAATTTTTTTTGAGGGCCTCAAAAAAAGGCAGTGTACAACCTTCCTTTTTTACCAAAAATCGACTTCACCAAAATTTCTCGGGGAAACTTTTTCTTATTAATTTTGGTGCGTAGAATCCAAAACAATTCGTACTTTTTCGATTAGACTTCTCAATCAAAAGTTATGGACTAGAAACCAATTTCGAAAGAAAATTCAAAGGACTGTAACTTTTGTTCTAGAAGCCCAATCTTGGAACTGTTTGAAATTATGGACTCTACAGGCCAAATTTCTCAGTTCTTATGGGATACATACTTACCCATCAAAAGATCTTTTTTAATCAGACTTCACTTTTCAGCCGGTCTCAAGCAGTACCTACCTCCATCGCTAGCTAACGACGACACTTTTCCGTTGCGAAGACCGAAGGAACTAGTCACCTCTGCAGTTGTCAACAAAGACCAACATTCTTAGGTAGGACAATGAAATCATGTCTACAGGTTTACTGGATAATCTTATTGTTGTAGGGATTGAGTACTATTCACCATCACCACTTCGAATTCGGCGCTGTCACCATCATCATTCCGGTCCATCCCTCATCGAGGTCTAAGGTAGCTACTAGTAGTCAATCAAAGGGCCTATGGTGTTTCACTACTAGTAGCTTCAATTGAGAACAAAATATACGTATCAAGTTATTTATTTTTTGTTATCACTGTTACAAGAACATTTTGTAATACAAAAAAATCTCTAGAATAGAATAATATTGTACTGCCCTCACTGCTCTTTGCTGGCAGCTGGCATTAGTTCATCACACGACATAGCCTCACCCAGCAAAAAAACAATTAAAACTGTGAAAGCAAACGGAATTTTTTTTATTAAAAAGAGAATCTATATTTAAACTTGATTAAAAATTTCCCAAATGTAACTATTGAAAACAATAAAAAAGTTTAAAATTTTTTTTGTTTTTTTTGAAACATTCCTTTTTAAATCAAGTGAATTATTATTTGAATTCAAAAAACTTTTTTGAATCATTTTTTGAATTATTTTTTGAATTCAAAAAACTTTTTTGAATCATTTTTTGAATTATTTTTTGAATTCAAAAAACTTTTTTGAATTATTTTTTGGATAACTTTTTTGAATCACTTTTTGATTCACTTAACTTTTTTGAATCACTTTTTTGATTCACTTAACTTTTTTGAATCACTTTTTTGATTCACTTAACTTTTTTGAATCACTTTTTTTAAATTTCTCTTAAAATCTTTTAAAAGCATCTCTCCTCACTTGACTTGATACTTGATACTTGATACTTGATACTTGATACTTGATACTTGATACTTGATACTTGATACTTGATACTTGATACTTGATGATACTTGATACTTGATACTTGAACTTGATACTTGATACTTGATACTTGATACTTGATACTTGATACTTGATACTTGATACTTGATACTTGATACTTGATACTTGATACTTGATACTTGATACTTGATACTTGATACTTGATACTTGATACTTGATACTTGATACTTGATACTTGATACTTGATACTTGATACTTGATACTTGATACTTGATACTTGATACTTGATACTTGATACTTGATACTTGATACTTGATACTTGATACTTGATACTTGATACTTGATACTTGATACTTGATACTTGATACTTGATACTTGATACTTGATACTTGATACTTGATACTTGATACTTGATACTTGATACTTGATACTTGATACTTGATACTTGATACTTGATACTTGATACTTGATACTTGATACTTACTTGATACTTGATACTTGATACTTGATACTTGATACTTGATACTTGATACTTGATACTTGATACTTGATACTTGATACTTGATACTTGATACTTGATACTTGATACTTGATACTTGATACTTGATACTTGATACTTGATACTTGATACTTGATACTTGATACTTGATACTTGATACTTGATACTTGATACTTGATACTTGATACTTGATACTTGATACTTGATACTTGATACTTGATACTTGATACTTGATACTTGATACTTGATACTTGATACTTGATACTTGATACTTGATACTTGATACTTGATACTTGATACTTGATACTTGATACTTGATACTTGATACTTGATACTTGATACTTGATACTTGATACTTGATACTTGATACTTGATACTTGATACTTGATACTTGATACTTGATACTTGATACTTGATACTTGATACTTGATACTTGATACTTGATACTTGATACTTGATACTTGATACTTGATACTTGATACTTGATACTTGATACTTGATACTTGATACTTGATATACTTGATACTTGATACTTGATACTTGATACTTGATACTTGATACTTGATACTTGATACTTGATACTTGATACTTGATACTTGATACTTGATACTTGATACTTGATACTTGATACTTGATACTTGATACTTGATACTTGATACTTGATACTTGATACTTGATACTTGATACTTGATACTTGATACTTGATACTTGATACTTGATACTTGATACTTGATACTTGATACTTGATACTTGATACTTGATACTTGATACTTGATACTTGATACTTGATACTTGATACTTGATACTTTGATACTTGATACTTGATACTTGATACTTGATACTTGATACTTGATACTTGATACTTGATACTTGATACTTGATACTTGATACTTGATACTTGATACTTGATACTTGATACTTGATACTTGATACTTGATACTTGATACTTGATACTTGATACTTGATACTTGATACTTGATACTTGATACTTGATACTTGATACTTGATACTTGATACTTGATACTTGATAC